TTTTTTTTTTTTTTTTTTTCCTTTTCCTTTTTCTACTGGATTCACTCAAAATGCCCCATTCTCTGGGAATATTACACACTCTAAATGTCTAAGTTAAAACTATGATATCCAAAATGAGGATGGATTTCCATAAATTAACTCTCAAACATGTAAAACATATAATCTCGAAACCCCTAAGCTCTCACAAGTAATTGACAAAGATACAGACGCCTCTCCCTTATATCACCACAAATACAGTTGGGAGATGAGTGGCTTCCGAGGGGAATGATAGGATGGCTCAGCTCAGTATTTCTTTCCACTCACAGTTTATCCTGCCACCTACCTCTTTTTATAATCCTCCACAAGATCCTGCATGTTGTTAAGCTCTGAATCCTGTGATGTCCTTTCTGCAGAGAGTCCATCCACGTATTTCTTGAGGTTACCTATGTACGCCTGGAAGATGGGGTCCAAGTCGATGGTGCGGGTGCCAACATTGAGTTGCTGCAACAGGTCCCATTTGGTCTGCAGCACTTGGTTCTGCTGCTCCAGGAACCGCACCTGCCGTGAGCAAAAGGAGAGCACCTAAGCTCTGGATCCTCTTCTCACCACACTAGCCTGAGGCAGCCCCTGTTTCTGCCTTGGCACCTAGAGAAGTCTACACAGCTTCAACCTCACCATCTGGATGCCGTGTCTTGCCAGGCAGAGCTTCTGAGCTCCCTGACCTCACACTTAGAAAGTTCTGCAGATGCCTATGCCATATCTGGCCCTCTCCACACGGAGAACTCTTCTTCCTACTTCACCACCTACTACTTTGCTTGCAGCTGCTCCCAAGACTCCGGGTCATTTCCCTCCCCCATCCTAGCTGAATTCCCAGCAAAGGTCCCAGAAATTCTGGGGAAAACCGAAAGCAGGTATCCACTCGCACTGCTCCTAAGGGTGCTGAGTATGATAGCACTGAAGGGCAGGGCTCCTTGACCTGGTTTTTAAGAGTCTTGTAACTTCCTTTAAGAATTTAGGAATTCTTAAATAGATTTGTAAAGTCCTGCCTATTTCAAGACAGATGAACCAAGACAGGTTCTTCTGCCTCTAAATAGGAGAAAATCCAGTGACACTCCAAAGTGACACCAATAAAGACTTTATGGGCCACAAAATTGAGAATGCTTCTCTTGAAGGTAGGAATTTCATTCATCCCCAAGCAGATATTTCAGTTCAGCTTTCCAGAATTTAATGGAGTAGTAAGTTCTAGAAAAGGAAAGACAACCCCTGGAGAAGATGTCTTACCAATCCCCTCCAATATCTGCTGTCATGTGACCTGAACTTGTCAGTCCATTACTTGCCTATATCATTTTTCTATGATTTTCAGAATTTTTCATAAATATTATTTATTTGGACTGAAACAATGAAGCCAAAGGGACAAATAATTTCTAACTGAAGACTGTTATAGAAAATGTAGGCCACAAAGCCAGCCACTGTCTTTCTCATTAGGAAATTGCAAATAACCCAGGCTATTACATATACATCAATGGCTCCTAGAAGAAACAAATCCGTGTTGTTTCCTTCTCAGTTAGCACTGGAAGTGGAGCATCCTGAGTATCAGAAGGATCCAGCTTCTCCTGATTCACCTTGTCA